TAGTAAGAACTAACTTCAGTAATATAGAACCATGGTTTTAGAGTTGGGGCCTTTCCTCTTTCCTATCAGGGCAGGGACTTTGAATGTGTCCAGTTTTTACTTGGATATTGTAGAATCTTCTTTTTCTTTTTTTTTCTTTTCTTAGTTCTGTTTGGGTGAGGACAATTACAATGGAAAGATACCCAATGTATTTTCAAATTTACATGGGCCTCGTAAATAAATCCTTTGAGTCAAGCTATGTAATTGAATTTTAAATATCCTGCATTTAGAAACTTAGAGGGCTGAACAGAGAATAGTGATACATTGCTAAAATGTTGCCTATAGTTCATGGGAATTAAGAAAAACCTTTAAAATGGTTTGTTTTTAACCGCATAACCATCATCAAACTATTAAAATATAAAATGTGTTATAGACTTGTCACTGGTATTAAATCTTGCTCTAGTTATTAGTATTAGACCATTATTAGCTATTTTGACAAGCAATATATCTGATTAAAAATTATTTTTCTATTTATCAGATAATACGGATAGCAACCTCACTCAATCAGGTTAACAATTTGTCTCACGTGTAATTTAAATTGTGATTCAAAGATAATTATGTATCAGATTTACATTCATACCATCTTGTCTGTTTCTTAGGAAAACAGTTTGTTGGAAAAGTATTTCACTTGTTCTGGTCATATGCTTCCCTGGTTTGATAATTGAGTGATTTTTTTTCCATGTTCAGTAAGAGATATTTTTCAGTGACCCAAATGATCCTCGGCCTGGTTGTAAATGAGGCCAGGCAGTTAGCTCTGTGAAGTTAAGGGTTGTACTCTACCACCAAGCACAGTACCTTCTATGGAATACAGGGGTGCTCACCTAGTATTCACGGGTGTAATACCTAGTATTTAGTAATATCGGGGTGCTCACCTAGTATCTGCCGAATGAACAAACAATGAAATAACAAATTCAAGTAGACAAAATATTTGAACTTAGGCTAGAAGCAGTTCTAAAATTCTACTTGTTTTTGTTTCAGAAAATCAAGTGGCTTCCTTGAGCCCTCTGCCTAATAAGTATGTCATGTTACATCATGAGCTATGGATTCTTTTCTTTAACCCAGGCGTGTGGCTCTTAAAATGAGAATTCTAAATTTGTCAAACGTATGTGCTAAAGACAGTCAATATCATTTATCTCTAGTCATTACCATTTGGCATGACCCACTGCTGCTTTAAGCAAACTGCAGGACTATAAATGCACTTCTAGGTTTTTTTTGTTTTTATTTTTGTTTCTTTTTACATAATTTCAGATATTAATAGGAAAAACCGTAATGAAATATACTATCGTATGTTGGAATGCTGAACTTGATGCCAGACGACATGGATGAGGCCACGTTCTACTATTCACCAGTGACCTGTGTCAACGTGAGCAAAATGCATAACTTCTCTGGTCCTTTATTGATAAATGATAGCTATTTCAGAAGGCTGTCGTGAGGATTAAGTTCAACAAGAAATTAACTAGAAGGTACTCTACATATATAAGGCTTTTTTTTTTTTTGATATTCAAATTCCAAGTGAAAATAGTTGAATTGTTGGCTTTCCCCAGCTTGTGTCTACATGAGAGTGAGACTGTTTTGACAAGAAATTAATGGGAACAGACATTTGGCATAAATTCTCCTTGTAACCAGATCTAGTCATATCAGGATAATGTTTGATCTGAATGCTGGCTTCAAAGCAGTTGGTTTTGCCAGAGTGGAGAAAATTTCTAGTGGAAATATTTAGAGACCATTTAGGTCAACTCCAGGGACTCACTCAATTATGTCACTCTTGTATTTGCGATCCAACCCGAGACATTTATCCTTGTTCCCATTTCTATACTTTTATGATTGATCTCAGTTTTTGAGCTAAGATGATCTTGTGGCAATTTTCACTGGTTGTTAAGATAGCTAGAAGAATCAAGTTAACCATTCTTGAGATTGTGTTCTTTTTTCATTCATTCAAATAGTCTCTACTCACTGAAGTTTGTCCTTGGTCACTGAGCTAGCTACCAATGAGGACACTTTCCTAGCAGCAGAAACTTCCCAGGGGCCTCAAGGAACCAATCTATGTCCTTGTCATCCATGCAGTGCTTCTTAAACTAGGGATATATTTTCCAGGGGGGTACAAAAGAGGTATATGAAGTTATAAGAGTATCAGTTTTACTAGTTGATAAGCAATATAAAACATCATTTCTTTTATATTGAAATATATGGAGTAAAATGCAGCATTTACATGAATTTTTTAATGTAAAAATAAGACTTTGAAAGAATTCTGTGCTTGGTATATTTGCAGACCATCTCAGGCATACACACGTTCATTCTCTGCGTCAGGTGCAGTTCTTTGAAAAGGTTTAGCAAGTGCTGCAGAAGTGCATTCTGGGATCCCTTAGTTCCCAAATTGCCTCCCTATGAAACAACAAAGTCAGGTTTTTGTTTTGTTTTTGTTTTTTTAGAGGAGCATTTTTTTCTTTCCTAGCTGAAGACTTTTAGGCTCAGAAGGGCTAAGAAGAAGTGAAGGCCAAGCTTTCTATAAGATGTTCTTGAAAACTCTTTGAAACTAAAAAAAATATTAAAGGGAAAAAACTTTTTAGGGAAAATGTTTCCAGGGTGCAATGTTTAGGATTCCTTATCTAGGCAAGATTTCTAACATTAAGCATTCTGGAGCAAGATTCTCAGTAGAAAGCCTAATGGACACATGAAAGTGGGCATTTGTGAACCATCAGGGCAGTAAGACAAATCCACCTGTGCATACAGATAAATTAAAAAAAATTTAGTTCAATAACAGACATTAAAAAATAATTCATGAGTCTATGTAAAGAAAATGCTTTTCATAACTTATTTGCTCTTCTAACAGCAGACGTAACTGACTTAAAAAACTCTAGGTAGAAAATTCAAACACTCTAGATTTACAAAAACAGATCAACATTTTGCTTTAGACACTGACATAAGTATGAATAATGTAAATATCAATAGTTAATGACCACAAACCCGACAGGTTGTGTTTTGAGACAAACATGAAAACCTTAAGAAATTCTAAGCACAGTGAAAAAGAAATATTTAAAATTGTTTTTTAGCAGTAGGGATGCTTGGATCTCAACTAAGCATCTAACTTGTTTTCTTATCTGAGATATAATGACCAGATTCCGCTAATAAATGTTACTCCTTAAAGCCTGATGATCTAAACATGTGGGTTGTCTTTTCCAGTGTTTTATCATAATTTGAAAAACAGAATAAAATTTAGCATTTTTTCTTTAAATAAAAGTTGTGCTTTAAATTTGGTCCAGAATTTTCCCAACTCTTTCCATGAACCACACACACACATACATACACACGTACACATACAATGCACACACATACATACAGAATGCATTATGCTGAGGCAAAACTTGGACGTTCCTGAGAAACCAAAAATCATATTAATTTGGAGTCTTAAGGGAGCTTAGAAATAGTTTTGTCTGGGTTTCACTGGTGTAAAACTGAGACTTAGAGGTTTACAAGGCTTGTCCAGCATCACACATCTGGTAGTTGCAGATCTGGAATCAGAGCCTTAATTTCCTGCGAAGCAAAATGCATTCAAATGACCTGGGTTCTTAGTACAGACTTCACCAGCAGGGTAACCACCAGCAAGTGTTTTAAGTCCTCTGGATTTCAGTGTTTTCAGTGGAAAATGCTGGAAGTGGCTTTCAATAACGGTGATCCTGATGATGCTTGGGGACGTTGGAAACGTGAGGGTGTTTCCAGTTGCTGCACTTACTGGCAGGTGCTATGGCACCTGGAGCCCTCCCCAGGGGGCAGCCGTCCCTCTCCCCACTGGGAAATACTGGATGACCTGTTGCCAGGCCAGGGCTCTTTTTATGGTAACTCATTTCTGAACCCAGCTATCTATGAGAGGGGTGGCAGTCTCACTTAAATAGCTTTGCTTTTAGTTCATCAAAAATCACGTTTGGAATTCCCATTTTGGCATATCTGCATTCTGTCTTTAGTTCTTTAGACAGAACAGTTGATGTTGGATACAAGTGGAAAATACAATCTTCTTTAGATGGCCAACATACAACTGAAAAAAAAAAAAAGAAAAAGTGATTTCCAAATGTGGAGTGACATTTAAAAAAAAAAAAGTTTAGTTGTATAGCCTTTGAAATATTTTCAGGTTTTTAGGCTGTGGCAGGATATATAATTGGAAAAATTTCAAGCTTAAATTTCAAATTTGTTGATATCTGGTCATTAAATCTTGCCTATTTTCATGATTTATAAATAGAACCACAAATGCCACGAGTAAGCAGAAGCACAAAAGAAAAATGCACCCTATGAATTATGTCACAATAAAAATACTGTATTCCTTTAAACAAATGTATTTATAAGAGCTTTATGACCCAAAGCAAGATATGTGAGATGGTTTAAGAAGAGGTTGCAATTTCGCAACAAGAAGTCTGTACAGCCCCTCGGGGCAGTAGCTGTGAAGGAAGTACCTGTGTCTCAGAAATTTGTTTCCGTATGTTCTTGACAATTTTGCATCCCAGGTCCCATTATTTACAAAGTTAGGCATTTTGCAAGCTCAAAGCACCTTGATCCTCATAATTATGAATACATGCAGTGACATTTCATCCTTTCATGTGCAAATTCTAAAATTCATTGTAACAGAAAAGCAAAAAGTTGAAAATCTGTCTACAATTTGAAATGAAAGGATCAAAAATGTCAGACATTGCAGAATACTGGTTCCTAATAGAGCTCTCTTTATTTGTTCACCGTTCCTCAGTCATTTTGTGTTTGTTACAAAATGCAGTCTTGACTCTTTATTTAAACAGTACTTAAACTAAACTGTTCATGCCATGCAAAAATAACATTTTATGCACTTTTTTGGGGGGGGCTTCCCATTTTTTTAGTTCACGGGCATTATTACCTCATTTTTAAGAAACAAGTTTTTTTTTTTTTTTT